GGTGTGGATGTGGATTTGCATGTATAGTGTGCATGTGGATGAGCGTTTGGACAGAATAACACCCACAGCCACACCCTTTATTTGCGGAAGCCTCTGTTTTCAATACTGGAACCTGTGCTTCGCACCGCATTTCGTAGTCGAGTAAAGCTCGAGTATCATCTAGTTAATTTTGTATTTGATTCTCGTTGAAAATCAATAAAATATATTGAAACAAAATGAAGAAAAACTTCATGCTGACTTTTACTTGAACCTGAAACTCTAAGGATCTGATAGGGTGTAAAATGAAAAATCTCTGTGATAGGGTAGGGTAAGGGTACAAAGCCCCTAGGGCATGGTAAGGCAAGGTTACGAAGTCTATAGGGCAGGGTAGGGCTAGGGTAAGAACGTCATAGGGCAGGGTAGGACAAGAGTGCGAAGTTTTACGATAGGGCAGGGTTAGGGTACAAAAAAGTCTTAAACTGCAGGACTCTAATGCTGAGTGTAGTTGATGGGTGAAAACTAAGTTTTTTATTTATGTTGGCAAACAAGTGAGCGATTTATTAATTTAACTGGTACACATGTTCATCAGTTGACAATTAAAGTAGATTTATCAAATATAATCTCCTTATTAAGACTGTGTTACGTTGTACATTTAAATTTTTAAGTAATTTTATTGGATTAACCTTTGTATTTTTGGCACCACTTTGAACTTAAAGATATCAACAACATACGTATTTATTACGGAAAAGTTTGCACGTGACTTGATTCTATTTATAAACTAACTAATCATTATCTTATTACCATACGTAATTTGTTCTCAACGTTTATTCTCATGTTGTATTTTACATAAAACAAGGTTTATTATTTGCAAGAGTTCGATCTATCGCCGAAGTTTTGCTGGAAACCAACTGAAATAGAGACGAAGAAACTTTAAGGTGATAATTCATGTTTTTGTCGTAATTTATGAATAATCTCTATCGTTAAATAAATGAGTATTTGTTAGAAAAAACTTAATTTTTAATCATACATTCAGCATCAGAATATTCAATTTGGTAAATTATTTATTAATAAGTGAATTAAAAATAACTTCGACAAGTTTCTCTGTCGAAGTTATAGCTTCGATAACTATGAGCGTGGAAGTTATAACTTCGTCGACCGGTGTAACTTCGATACGACATATGTAAATGTTAAATTTTATAACTGCTTAGTCAAAACATTAACTAGCCGATAATCAAAATGCATACCGCGCAAGAAAAGGACAACGCTGTTCTGATTGATAGTCCTTGTATGCCTGCTTCGCAACCATTGTCATTGACTGACGATCCTGAAATAAGACGAACTCTGAAAATTCTTCTAATTTTACTTAGTGGCATTCTCGTAAGTTCTAATTGTCTTATGATTATCAAGGAACATCCATCTCTGTCTTCTTATTTTTAAAAATATAACTTTTTACTGACTAAACCTTCTGAACATCTAATTGTTTCGATTTAAAATAAATCAACTTAATTCACATTGAACGACTAGATATTCAGTCAAACAATATTTAGGCACCCATATATTTTTCTGATCATAACTTGAATCCATTCAATGAATCTATTTTTAGGTCCTGGCTGTACTTGCTACAGTTGGTTCGGTTGCTGGCAATGGAGTTACGAATAATTCCGAATACTCGTCACGCGGTGTTGAAATTAGTCGATCTCTTATTCCAGTTGTTTTTCTCAGCTTTGTATATTTGGTCGCTCATCGATACTCTAAAATAGCCTTACTAGTGGTATGTATCAACTGTGGTGTGTTTTTTAGTTTGTAAATAACATCACTTTTGGGAAATTCTCTTGACAAACTAAATATAGTCAAGGGCAAAATCTTTTTCAGGAAGAAGTACGATGTACAAGTAGTTAATTACAAAATCTATGTTGTATTTCTTTCCTAATTGCATCTGAAGTAAATATTTTCTTCATAAATATCCAGATTTACCGAAAACGAATCCGAATTGAAATACCCAGGTCAATGATTCCGGAGGACGGATACTGTAGGAACTGGCCG